CCCACCTTGCCCATGACGACTGGATTTCAGGAAATAATGTAATTTTTTTTACATATATTCAATCTACCCAGGAAAATGCATTACTTTTTAATTATTAGGGTGCTTAGATCTGGAATTTACATATATACGATGGGTAATAATATATTAAAGATGTTATGTGATATAGAACGAATAATTCAATGTATTCTGTGATTTATCCTGCAATAAAAGTACTGTAAGGAGAGCAATGCAGAGAATTGGCTTTTGACAAATCCACTGTCTAAGACTGTAAAATAATTCCCCCAATTTGATTGTTCAGTTGAGCAATTTTAATTGATAATTGTATCTATTGTGTTTAAGACGAGTGTTTGACAGCATTCATTCTAGTTTAGCAAATGGGTTATCCAACAGTCAGACCTTGTATTCTGATCTAATGAATTGAAGCGACCACCCACTGCATCCACTGTTGCTGGTTAAAATACAAGGTGATTGGAATCAGCCTTTTAGACAATCCTGAATGAAGTCTCTTTTATCTCAGCACCGGACATAACCAACTGCAGAAAGTGAATCTCTGCTCTGTGGCTTGGGATCACTCCTTTTTACGTAGAGTTGTCCTATCGTGTTGATCATGACTGAGCGTTTCCAAATTCACTTCTCATGCAAATTCGATGTCACACTTTAAATTGAGTTGATTAGAAGAGTACAGTTTCATAGTCCACAAACGCAACACACAATAGAACTGCACATTAATTACCAAGATTATTCCCTGGTTGCTTGTAATAACATGGATGTTGTTATTTTCCATTCATCAAAGCCCATGTTTTCTTCAGAGATTCTGAAGTACTTTATCTTTCTATGCAAACGTGATCTTCCATTAGCAACAGCTTGGGATGGCAACAAGGGGACTGACAGCAGCTCCCCCAAAAGTCCTCAAACAGAATGAAACGCACTGCATTAAGTTCACAGTATTGATTATAAAATGGATAGCTAATGGAAAATATCCTCAAGGCTATATCTCAATTCACGTGAGACATATATTGCTCACTTTGCTATCATGCTTTGATATTATCTGAAACTTTCAGTCACACTTTTGCTTTATAATCTTCCAGTTGTCCATTTTTCTTTGTTTAGCACTTTATTCCTTATAAATCACTAACACCTATCCAGCAAGTGTCAATGATGTATTTCAAAGATCCTGCATCTATCGCACAATTTTGTATTACTTTAAGGCTTTGGCAAGTATTTTACTGGTATCTTCAGTATTCTGCACTCTCTGAGCTGGCCAGGTTAGAAAGATTTTAGCTTGCACACTATTACGCTGGAAATGCAACCTAGCATTACAGTCATTTATTACAGTGAATCTCTGATAACTCATTACCCCAAGGGAAATAGCTCAAATGATTATTCATCAGAGTTGACTAATTATCCGAACTACAGTATCTTGAAAGTACAAAGTACTCGAATAGCCGAATAATGAATGAGTGACTAGTTATGTAGGGTTTACTACTTATCCCAGGGGCCAGTTATAGAGTTTCACCTTACGTAGATGCTGACAATACTTGCGTTACTGTAATGGTAATGTTCTAGGATTAAAATAGGCACTTGAAAAGTTTGGAAACCTACATTAATTTAACTTTTTTTGTAGCCCAGTTCTACTTCTGTTTACTATTGTGCTCCATCTGTGACTTGACTTGATGGGAAGGATTTCTCCCACGCTTCTGCCAATGCTGCTCTGCATTGGTGATTTGAGAATGGACTAGGGAAGACTTATTTTCTTTCCCATCTTATAAAGACCATCAGATCTTAACTAAGACACAGCTGAGCTTGGGAGCTCAGCCTGCAACCTCACCTCTCCGCACCACTGTACGTTGGTGTTCTAAATCTGCAGGCTTGTTGACAATCCCTTTTTAAGCAAGTGTGAAATCCTAATAGGACATCAACGCTTCAGGAGTTAACACCCTCTTCTTCCAATAAAACACTGAAACAAACATAACCGACTTAAAGGTCACATTTTAATTCCATGTCACTGCATTAACAAGGCATTTTGCACAGTTTTAAAATGTGATTGAAATTTTAATCTGCTCAGTTCTGACTGTTGTCCACCCCCACAGCGATCCAGGTAATGTATCTCTGTCATTCTCCCTTGACTAGAATTGGAGTTGATGGCCTCTCTCGATATTTTTTCCCCGACATGCATCAGTAAATCAAGTGTGCATGCAAGTAAATATTCATATAGGATATTAAAATATGGTGGAGTATGACAGGAAGTTTGAAGCTAATTCATTTAAATGATCCTGGAGTTAGAGCTAGGGCAGAGTAATAGACCTCAATAAAACAATCAGGGGGCTACCAGCTGTGAATATATTCACACAATAAACCTCAATCTTGCCTAAAGGGAGTAATTATTCTAATAGACCCCCTGAGACTGAATCGAAAAAAACCCTTTTATTCTTCCTCTCCATTTTCTAATAACTTTGTACCTGCCAGCTTTTTGACAATTTACACTTTATTTCAGAGATTAAGGCTTCATCGACTGGGAGAGTGGGCTATATCCATATGGATGTGCATGGTGTTAATAAAACAAATTGGATTATTCCAGTGACAGCAGAAAAATTGATAAAAGGAAAGGTAGCATAGAGTGTCAGAATATTATTCTTTTTAATTCTCAGAGCTGGATTCAAACCTGGGCTAGACTGAGGGCAGAAATTGTTTTATTTCACATTAGAAATTGAGTCTCCAATTCTGCATGGGTACATTCCATAGCACATTATGCCCATAATTAGAGCCAAGCTCTGAGTCATGCACAGGCTGGTCTCAAAGTTTAAGTAATATCACCCAAAATGTCTAATCTCTGCAATGGCTTCTTTTTTTTGCCAATAATCTATCCATCTCGCTCTTAAATTTGTCAACATGACCCACTTGCACTGTCTCTAGGCAGCCTGTATTCATCCCATGTGTTCATTGGACTCTATGCAAATTAATTTAGTCTAAAGGGTCCATTTATCCTTTCAGTTAACTCACAAGTTGTCACCTCTGTTACCTGCAGTAACTCTTAGGTCTGACTGGAGTTAAATACTGTACTAACACTCCAGTGTGCTTTCTTAAGTATGGAATGTTCTAAGTTTTTTTTCGTCGTATGTAATTCTCCCTCCACCCTCCCCTACTCCCTCAGCCAATGTGACTAAGGCTATTTAACAGGATGTGAAATGCAGCAGGAAAATAAAATGATTCTGCACGGTGGAAATTTTTTAATATTACTAAGTGCTGTGGACAGCGAAGCAATTTATTCTCTATTTTATAAGCATATACTCAGTTCTTTATCTCTGGATTCTGTTTCAGCACTATTGCACATTGTGTAACGAAACGTGCCTCCTTGGGGCGTATCCATATGCTGATGAAAACGGATCTTTTATGCCTAGATGAGTATAGTCAGCAGACCAGAAGTCTGTCTCATCTAAGAGACTGTGATTGATGGGCCAGTCTGATGCCTCACTGATCAGACCAGTCCCACCTGCACAAAGATGCTCCAACCTATTTATTAACCACAACTGACCTACCGAGAGCCAAATAAACAGCTATCATGAAATGTCCATTAACTAGTTAACTAGGTCACTCCCCAAAAATGAACAACTATGATTAATTTGGTTGTATTATTGTTATTATCATTTATGAAGCTGTTTCTAACCTCACTAGACATTAATTTACATGTGGATGTATTTTAAATTCAGATCTTTTTGGATAATAAATAGTCCTTTCACTTGTTACAGTGCCTATAATTCATCTCAAAAGACTTCACAAGCAGCTTGTGTCAAGTGCAGTGACATTTTTGTAGGCAAATGTGACAGCCATTTTGTGTGGCACTAAGATCCACAACCATGATAACATGATTAATCTAGGGAAGTATTGACCAAGAAACTGAGACAACTTCCTTCTTGAATTGTGCTACGGGATCTTCAATATCAGACAGGGATCTTGGTGTAACACCTCATTAGACCATCGTATAATGCAGCTCTCTGCAGTATTGCAGTGGCGTGTCAATCCTAAAGTTGAACCCACAGCCTTCTATCACAGAGGCAAAAGTGCAACCAACTGAGCCAAGCTGACAGTTTTATATCATTGGGTCCCATCAGGCTGGTTCCTCGCTGACAGCTGTTTCTTTTTTTAAAGCCAGCCGGTTGCTGATTCTGATGGCTCAACCTTGATTTATACCGCGCGTATCTTGCAGTGAATCAGCGCTAAAATTATGGCAAATCACTGCATAACACGTGGTGTAAATGCAGAGTGAAAGGTCAGGATTGAAGAAACAAATTCAACGCTTGTGACCCTTTCCTTATAATTTAAGAGTCTGGAATTATCCAAGCTGCTTATCGCTGAACCTTTCCAATGATTATGTCCTTCTAAAGTTAAAAGTATTCAGAACTGCACACAATATTCCAAATGTGGTCTAACCAGTGACCTAACTTACAGTCAAATGCCCTCTAGATGTAACCTAGTATTTTATCAGCTTTGTTGACAACAGCTTTGTGTTATTTGAAAACCTTCAGTAAATGATCAATAATCATGCCTAAATCCTTTTCTCCACCTCTGCTAAATCGACCATCCATCATTGTGTACTCAATTTATTCCACAGTGTATCACGTTACAGTTATTTGCATTAGAATCCATCTGCCTTGTCTGTATCATAACAATTGGTCGGGATCTGACTGAATGCTATTTATCCTCCCTATACACCTGATCATGTAGCTTATAAATTTGACAATACAGTATCAGAAGTTCTCTCCTCCAAGCCATTCGTGAACACTGTGATCCATATCCTATGAATTCTACATTTGGTCTCACAAACAGCATATTTCAAGACAGCATCGATCTGAGGGTTGAGATGAACTTAACAAATCACACTTATTTTGTAATACAATTCACCACATGTGAATCATATCTTACATACATGTTTGCCTAACCCTGCAAGCTGCTTCTAGTCCAGGTGATGGTTTAACACTTTGATTTTTTTTCTCAACTGATAGATTGTGGGCGCTGAAGTTCGTGTCACAAGAACACTGGATTTTCTCGACTTTGTAACAACAGGAAGTGTTAAAAATTTTGGATATGCTGGGGTACAGACACAGCCCTTGAATCCAGTCAGGATGTTTGTTCAAGAATCCCCCCAATCAATGACTGACCTTCATAATTCACCCACCCAAATGTCGCCGGGTCGCTGGAATTGGTCAAAAAATCAAACCAACGTTCAACATGTCAACAGTCGATCAAAGCGGAAACTGTCGATGAAATCTGGGAAAAGCAAAAAAATCTTTGGGTGGGGCGATTTCTACTTCAGCGTCAAAACAGTCAAGTTCAATCTGCTGGTGACTGGGAAAATAGTGGACCACGTCAATGGGACTTTCAGCGTCTATTTCAGACACAATTCATCAAGTTTAGGGAACGTCTCTGTGAGTATTGTTCCACCATCCAAAGTCGTTGAGTTTGACTTGGTGCACCAATCAACTATTGAACCCAAGAGCTCCAAGATGTTTAACTGTCGGATCGAGTATGAGAAAACTAACCATGCGAAGAAGAACAAGCCTTGCCTGTACGACCCATCAAAACTCTGTTACACGGAACACACTCAGAGTCATGCTGCCTGGCTGTGTGCAAAGCCATTTAAAGTGATATGTATATTCATTGCTTTCTACAGCACAGACTATAAACTTGTACAAAAGGTGTGTCCTGATTATAATTTTCAAAATGATCATCCTTATTTTGGTTGATGGTATTTGCTAAGGGCACATCCGTTTTCTTTCCAGTTGTGGGATTCACACCGTGCAAATAAATGTGTAGTGCGTTACAAAGCTGTAAGAAACTTGACCAGAAATTATTTTCAAGAGTATGAATCCTTATGTTTCCCTCATTCCTTTTCCTCCCCACCTCTGCCAATGTTTTGAGCCAGTAAATGGGAAGTGCATGAGAGTATTCTGCTATCTGTCTCCGCTCAGCAGGCTGCGGCCTGCTCCACGTCCCCTGCCCAGCCCGCCTCGCCATCGGCTTTTGGGCGTTCAGTCTCTCTGCCCCCATCCTTTGGAACTCGATCCCACATTCCTTTCGCCTCAATCCCTCCCTTGCCTCCTTCAAGGCACATCTCAAGCCCTTCCTCTTCGACCGCGCCTTCGGTCACCCTGCTACCCTCCCTGCCCTGCACCCTATCTGCTTCCAACCCCCTGCTCGAGTTCAAATCCCTGATTGTCCAGAGCTTTGGGATGTCCTCTTGACGTGAAAGGCGCTATACAAATGTAATTTTCTATTGTATTGTATTGTGATTGATCTGCTACTCTAGGGAAGCTCATTGCTTCCTCCTGTTGACCTGGATAATATAAGGGAATATTATCAATATAAATTCAACAATATAAGGGATAGTAGGCACTGACCACAGCCCATTCCTTTGTGGTATTTTACATTAGCACAGTATCTCCCAAATTTTAACAGGAAAATAAGTCAAGCTTACTGTGTTAAATGGGCTCAAAACATTGACGTTTGATTATAAACCCTGATCAAAAAATTATGCCTGTACTTTTGCATATAAATATTATACACACTTTACAATATATCCTGTGAAGTGCTTTGTGACGTCTCAATGACATGATAAGGCGTTATCAAAGGCAAGGATAATTATTATTAAAATCTGAAATAAGATGGAGGAGAACATAAACCAGCTGAAACTAAAGGCTATTATGAGCATCCAGCACGTCAGAGCTTCACTCATTTTATTTGGGTTTGAATAAACTATAAATTCTTAGTTACTAAAGTTTCGATCAACTATTTCAATATATGCTGGCTTTTGTTTTTCTACATTCTCCAGTACCACTTACTCCAGTAAGTGGAGTATCTCATCCTTACTGCTTTACAATAGTGTTTTTTTAAATGTTTTGTTTTTTAACTTGCTCAAATACATTGTGGATTCATGCTTTCTTTATCTCGAAGCCTCAGTCCATGACTGTTTGTGGGACACTACTGTGCCCAATTGGCTGCTGCGTTTTTCTCCCACAAAATATACAGTCAATTTACTTTACAGTATTCTGTGAAGCGCTTGAGACGTCTTGAAGACGTGATGAGGCGCTGTATCAAATGCCAGGATTATTATTATTAAGCTGATGATTTATTGATAGGATTCAACAGATGATTTTAGCTGAAATCTGTGCATATTTATTTTTTCTGATTCTCCCAGTTTACATTGCATCATGAGAAATTATATTTTATTCAGTTAGTTAAATTAGGATTCTTTAAGCATTCAGTTACGATAATGGGCGAAAGCTGTATTTGAAATTCAATTTAGTGAATACTTGTGTGACTGCATCGTAAGACGGGACATTAACTAGGCTTGTTAGCATCATAATATCATAACAGTACATTCCTTACAATTTGTTACAAAACTCGTGGAGTCCTGTAGCTCAGTGGTTAGAGCACTCGCTTTGCAAGCGAGAGACCTGAGATCAATTCCAGGCAGAGGGCGAAACCTTGGGCAAGTTTCCTTACTCCACACAGAGCCTAATAATAATCCCTCCAAAACCAAAAACAATAATAAATTGGTCATTTTCAATCTACGACTGTTTGTGGGACATTGCTGTGCGCAATTGGCTGCCGCGTTCGCCCACAAATATACAGTCAATTCACTTTACAGTGTGTTCTGTGAAGCGCTTTGGGACGTCCTCCCGACGTGAAAAGCGCTACATCAAATGCAAGGATTATTATTATTATAAAACTGGTTGAAAATTACAAGAAATGTAGCACCTCTCCAACAACAGGAAGCGTTCCCGAAGGTAGGCATTTTGAAAGTACCTGTAGCTTCAACGAGCAAAAAAAGTGCTTCCCTAACTCCTGAGCCAGGAGGTGGAACAGTTTCACATCATGAGACAATCCCCTTATTGTTCACACAGTGAATGAGAATGCGTGATATAATCTTACAGCTAAACACAGTTCAGGCCTCTGCTCGACATGAGAAGCCCAGCATCACAGTAACACGATAGGGGGCAACGGTGATTGAAGAGGTAATCAATAATGGGTTATGTCACTGCACCATTATTCATTGGTGATTAGGAAAATGATCTTCTCATTTATACCGATCATACAGCTGTTGCACATCAGGTCGGAGAGGTTTTTCCCTATTGAAAAAGTAACTTGGTTGATCTTCCCTTAGCTGCACTGGAATGGCAGGCCCATAGGGTGGTGATGGGAAACCTTTTTCTTACTCTCGCGTGGGATGAAATGGTGAAACATACCTACCAAATTGTGGCATAGAAATGTCAACAGCTCTTAAATTCCTTTTTTTTAAAAAAAAATTTTAGCCATTAATTACCAACTTATCTTCTGCTGAACTAATGGAGGTGGGAGCTCAACAAGCAGTGAGGTCTCTCTTTAAGGAATAATAAATAAGTTCTGTAACCTCCTTTGATGGCCCAGCTTCTAAATGCGACAGTACTTTCCCATTCCCCCCAGGTATAGTTCAATGATTCTTGGTTCACTGCATTCTCACAAATTGCTGACTCAGTCCTGGTAACTACTCCTTCCAGTCTCACGTTGAACCAAATGTTTCTTGGAAATGATTAACCAGTATTTTTTTTATTTATCTGCCCAATCTTGCACCTGAATAACTCAAGTCAAAACAAGTCATTAGAGAAAAAAAACGCGCTGTACAGACAAAGCAAAATTCAAAAATCAAATTGGACAAGCTAGGACTCAGTGTTGTGTCATTGGCTGTTGAAAAGGTTACGAGTCACCCAATATTATTATTGTATACAGTTAGCAACCCGTTACATGCTTAGTATCCATGTAAAGGCTCTAAGGAGACACTCTCAACCCCTTATGTATATATATATATGGACGTACATGTACTGCAGTTTGTCTGATTTTCTGTATATTGGTTGCTGATTTTGTAATAAAATTTCAGTCTTTGGAAAAAAAGATGAATCCTGACAGCTATTTATAATGAAAACCCATGTCCTCATAAACTCATATTTCCCTCCAAATAAACTAGTTTATAAATCTGCTTCCCTGCCAAACTATTTCTCATCAGGTTGACTACCACAGTGTACCTTTATAACTGTGATGACAACGAAATCGTCTTTCCAAGGCAGTTAGAGGTCTTCACAGATCATGGAAATGACGAGATTACATTGGCTATGTTTTATTGTGTTCAACTGAATTTAGTAGGGACCTGGGTCAATCTCTATAATCCCCAAGGCATGGAAACATTCCTCAGATTCCCAAATAAGAAGTTACATATTAATGAAAAATGTACAGCAATTTCAGATGTGGATTTAGTATAATTTAACCTAATTTCCCTTCCACTAATTGTTACAATTTGTAAAGCTTTCATGAACTTTACGCCCATAATTCACATGTGCAGAACATGTCCTATATGAAATACAAAATTACACTTGTAAAGCTCCTTTCAAGTCGAGATGACGTCCCAAGGTATAAAGTTAAGGATCAGGAGTTAGGGATTAGGACCCGAGCGTGGGTGAGGGGGGTGGGTTTGGGATCAGGAACGATGGAGGACAGAGAGAGTAAGAGGGTGGCTGAAGGCACGGTCAAAGAGGACGGTCTTGAGGTGTGCCTTGAAGGAGGCAAGGGAGGGATCGAAGCGAAAGGAATGTGGGATGGAGGCAGAGAGACTGAAATCTGAACCACCGATGGTGGGGCGCGCCGGGCGGGGGATATGGAGCAAGCCGGACCCTGCTGAGCGGAGGGGGCATGCAGGTTAATAAGGAGTTAGCAGGTCAGAGAAGTAGGAGAGGGCAAGGCTGTCACATCTGGCGTCCCCCAAGGCTCTGTCCTTGGCCTTCTCCTCTTTAATATCTACATGCTCCCCCTTGGTGACATCATCCGCAGACATGGGGTCAACTTCCACATGTACCCAACTCTATTTTTCTGCCTCCACCCTCAACTCCAGGTGCTGTCCTGACAGACTGCCTGTCGGACATCAAGTCCTGGATGAGGGCAAATTTCCTACAGTTGTATGTGAACAAGACTGAGGCCCTCCTGATTGCCTCGCGCCAGCGCCTCTGCACCTCAGGTTCTGGCAACATCAACCTCCATGGTTGCACATTACAGCTCACCAGTCAGTCAGGAACCGAGGTGTCTTGTTCGACCTTCAACTATCTTTTCACCCCCACATTCAAGCCATGACCCGCTCTGCCTTCCCTCACCTCCGTAACATCGCCCGACTCTGCCACTACCTCACTTCCTCAGGCCGCTGAAACTCTTGTTCGTGCCTTCATCACCTCCAGGCTCGACTACGCAAACGTCCAGCTTTGTCGGCTTTCCCAACTCCTCCCTCCATAGGCTACAGATAATCCAGAACTCTGCAACCTGTGTCCTCTCCCGCACAAAACTCCGTGACCCCATTTCCCCCCACTCTCGCCCGACTCCACTGGCTCCCTATCCTTCAGAGGATCCAGTTCAAGATCCTGGTCCTCACATACAAAGCCCTTCATGGCCTCGCCCCTCTATGACCTCCTAACCCCCTACCAACCCACCCATTCCCTCCACTCAGCCGGCTCTGGCTTGCTCCACGACCCCGCCCCACCCGTCCCACCATTGGTGGGAGACCCTTCAGCCACTCTGCCTCCGACCTCTGGAATTCCATCTCCCAGTCACTCCGCCTCGCCCCTTCCTTAGCCTCCTTCAAGTCCCGCCTCAAGACCCTCCACTTCGATCATGCCGTCAGGCACCCCCCTTACTCTCCCCTCCCTTACCGCCCCAACTCCAGCTCGGGTCTGAATTGCTGTACTCTGTCCAGTGCCTTGGGACGTCCTCCCGTCGTGAAAGGCGCTATAGAAATGGAATCTTGTTGTTGTTGTTGGAGGACCTTGAAGGTGAGGACGCGGATTTTGAACTAGATCCTCTGAGGGATGGGGAGCCAGTGGAGCTGGGTGAGGGTGGATATGATGGGATCATGGAGCCTGGTGCAGGGGAGGGCATGAGCTGCAGAGTTCTGGATGAGCTGCAGCTTGTGGAGGGAAGAGTTGGGAAGGCTGATAAGCAGGGAGTTGGCGGAGTCAAGCCTAGATGTAAAAACATGTGCAGATCATGTCCTATATGAATTTGAACTGCACCCCTCTTGTGTAATGTGATTTTTTATTAGGATCTAACCTTACCACCCATGGTCTGGAATATATATTTGCATAATTTTAATTATATTTACAGTCTTGCTTTGGAGGCAGAAAGGGAGACCTGGTCAGGGAGAAAACTAATCTAATCTATCATGTAACACATTACACCTGCAGATAAAAATGCCAAACGTGTGCACTGAAGTCCAATTTAAAACTGTATACAAGCCTTTCTAAGCCTGAGACTTAGATTCCTAATTCTTTCATACCGATTTCCATGCAAACCTATTCTGTTAAATTAAAAAAATGGGTAACATTGGAACTCAAGTCGGCATTCAAAGTCCATAGTTGCTGCACAGACACTACCAGTCTTAAGTCAATTAAGAAATGAATGTTTCTTTATCACGTTTCCTTCGCAATCCATCAATAAGATCGAGGAGCGAGAATAAAGTGTAATAATAAAAGGTACTTCAGCTAGTTTCTCAGATGCAGCTGCTGTGCGCACCAGTGGTGTTCGTGATGTGAAATGTCACTTTAAGGTTGCTTTCGTACAATTGTTTAACTGTATAAATGCAATAATCCACTGCTAAATCTCAACTTCAGCAAAATTCCGGTACAACTAATACTTTATATTCAGAACAATAAATCCATTTTTTTTACAGTGAAAGAAATAGTTGCTTCGCACAGCAACTCTGATTTTTATGAGCTCTGCAATGCCTATTTCACCCATAGGAATGTAACAAAGAATTACTGGCTATGGGACTTTCTAGTCACTGTCATAATTAAGTACATTTTCCGCTGTGTGTTTGAAAAATTCGGCAGTCAACATCCTATTGAGACTCTGGGATTTTGCCTCATTCCAAATAACCTGAGTTTCCCAGAAAAAATGCTAAAAACTGAAAAGTCGTTTTTTATAAATGCTCTGGTTAACAAATACTATTTGGATAAAATTAGCCATCTCCCAAATTACGATTTTAGAATTCATTCCAAGTTCTGAACAACATTTTCAGACTAATACAATGTCTTCTGTAACATGGACTTTATTGATTGTATGCAGCTGCAGTGACCGAGCCTAAGAAAATTAGAGGTAAATTTTGAGAGCATCCTACATTTAAAATCTAGGTACAGCCATAACACAGATGGAGCAGCCTTGTCCAAATTGATATCCAGAATGCCCATTTCAGAAGGCGATGGTGGTGGCAGAAGATGAGAACTGAAGTGCAGGTACAAATCACTGATGCACAAGTTGGAAAGTACAATATAAATATATTAAATAAACTGTGCTAACATATTTGTAAATAATAATTCTTGTTCACTGAAAAAAAATCCTGCATTCTGAACTCATTACGTTTCAAGCAAAAGTTAATTGTCTTTTTGAATTTGTCTTATTTTAAATTAGAAACAAGTTTTTTTTAGTAGCAATGTCTTTCTTTATTAAATAATTCTTTAAATTTGAAAGGTTTGAGTGAAGTTCTGTGACACTAACCCAAACTAATTTCACATAAAACCCTTCCAAGCAAAAGGAGAAAGAGGAGAATTGATGTGGTCTGGATTGAAACCCAGATCACAGACACAAACCCAGGTTAATCCACTGCAGCATCCAACCCCCTCCATTTTATTTTAAAGAATTTAATTGGCATATCATTAACTAACTTTGGAGTGCGTTTGACATTTCCTGAACATGCACAAAACTTAACTTGCTGTGGGCTATAACAAATGTCAACCTAAAGTTGGTAGAGGATTCAGATGCATTAGCAATGCATCTATACTATGTAATATGCGGCAATCTATGGTGAATTTAATGAGATGATTTGCAAGTATGAATCAATTGTGATTTTAAAATGATGCAAAAGATAATGTGATGTTTTAATTACAAAGGCTGGAAGGTGCAAGTTTATTTTACCATACATTTGGGGAAAATGTGCAAATTAAACTTCATAAGGGTTTTTTAAGATTTGATTTGTGATTGAATCTTTTATTTATAGTTGATTTGATCTTCTTTGTGGAGTCCTGTAGCTCAGTGGTTAGAGCACTCGCTTTGCAAGCGAGACACCTGGGTTCAATTCCAGGCAGAGGGCGAAACCTTGGGCACGTTTCCACGCCTAATAATAATCCCTCCAAAACAAAACAATAATAAATTGGTCATTTTCAATCCATGACTGTTTGTGGGACACTGCTGTGCGCAATTGGCTGCCGCGTTTCGCCCACAAATATACGGTCAATTCACTTTACAGCATATTTTGTGAAGCGCTTTGAGATGTCTAGAAAATGTGAAAAGCGCTATATCAAATGTTTACGACAGGTGACCGTACATTAACCAGATTAGTTGGGTTCTTAAAGACAGTTGACTCTAAATGAAAATAAAATAAAATCAGAAAAATAAAGTTGCAAAAGTTTGTGCTAAATTTAATAACTCAACTTTGAACACAGGAAAATGGCACGTACAGTTTGTTTTTCATAGTTGTATGTGAAGATTTAGATCAATTCACTTTACAGTATACTCTGTGATGCGCTTTGGGACGTGTTGAAGATGTGATAAGGAGCTATGTCAAATGCAGGGATTATTATTCTCTTTTAAAGACCTATTGTTATGCTGAGTTTATACCGCATTTTTTTCAACTGTGGATTATAAAGTCAAATCACTCAAAATATTTTCTTCATGCATTACCATCTGTACTTCTGTATAACAACTTGCATTTACTTAGCACCCTTTGTGAAGATGCTTAACAAATATGCTAAAGAACACCAAGCAGGGAGAAGGAAGGAAGAATTAAGGATGTTGTAAAAGGAGGATTGAAACAATATGTTTTAGGAGGGTTTTGGCAGTAGGGAGAGAGGAAATGATCAAAATGGTCTTGGAACAGGCCCAAGGAGTTATTTCTCAGCCACTGAATATTCATTCAGTTTCAAATATGGTAACATTTTACCGTTTCACCTAATGCACCTTACAACCATTCATGTGCATTTTCTGGGAATCAAGATAAATGTTTCAAGATCAAAGGTTCCACTGCATACTTTAATTTTCAAATAATGTAAATAATAAAAAAATTGAATTTGACAACGAGTACGTGCGGTTCTTTAAAAGGAACAAGTTTGCCTTCGAGGAATACTGTGCGTGTCACATCAAAGCAATTTATAATTAATCTTACTCAATCATAGCTTGCTTCAAAAAGACTTGAATCATGATTGACTCCTAAAAGTACAGTGAAAAGCTACAATAGATGTTGAAAATGTGATTCCTTTTTCTTTCCCTTCAATAAACAAGTCACTACACTTGAAAGCAATTACCTGAGAAGCACTGAGAGATGCTTCGATGTTATATAGGCTATGTTAAGGGTCATTATTCATTTATTTTCTCTCCTCAAGGCAATGCCTCATGCTGTGTTAGTTGTGAAGTTGCTGTCCTCCCTCTTCCAACTGATCATTCTTCACCTGTAGGCCTTGAGAGTGAATCGAGTGAAATTCTGTTAATTGAATGCTCACTTTTTTACAGCGAACACTATCCAATAAACTATTCACATAAACCAAACTAAACGGACGAGGAGAACTCATCTCCCAGAGCTCTAAAGTTCCATTCATTTAAAACTAAACTATTCAATTATTCGGTATTTAATTGACCGAATTTCACTGCACCCTATTGGAAGATTGTTCGACTGTGGGATGTGGGGATTAGGCCAATACGTGAAATGTGTTTGCGTTACATTAAGCAGAAACCCCGTTTGCGAGTCGATTGGAGTGTGTAATAATCGCTTAAAAAAAAAACGATAATAATTTTGGTCACTCAATCAATACCCGACGGTTTGCGGGGACGCTGCTGCGCGCGATCGGCTGCCGGGTTTCGCCCACAAAATGCACAGTCACTTCACTTTACAGTCTGCTCCGCGACGCCTCGCGACGTCTCGACCACGCGATAAAGGCGCCGCATCGAACGCGAGCGGTCGCAATTACTCTTGGCTCGGCCGCAGCCTCGCGGGCGGCCCGTCTCACCTGAAGGCCGGCACCGTCCGACCGGGCGGGACGGTCGCCGGGGCCGAAAGGCGGCGCTCGGACCTCCGCGACCGCCGGAGGGGACGAAGGGGCTTAAGCCGGGCGTGAGGAGGACCCAGGTCCGTCCAGTCCGTCCGTCCTTCCGCCGGTCGCTTGACACGTCGTGTCCCGGACCCAGAAGCGGTTATCCCCCCCCACCGACCCCTCACCCCACCCCACCCGGAGATATTATTTTCCGGCCGAAAAGTTAAACCGATTTGTTCTCGAAACAAATGACACTTTCCGCTTCCACCGACCGCCTGGGGGGGGTGTGTGTGGGAGGGCCGTTCCGTACGTTTACTACTCGGTGGCTGAAGTAGTGAAACCCCCTCAGATTTGTTCTGAGTTTACTCTCTCCCCCCACCCGCCCGCCCGCCCTCCCTCCCGCGCTTCAACCCGAGCCCCTCAACCCCCGCAGAGCAAAGGGCGGCAATGGCGGCTGCGCGCGACGACCCTTTCCCGCCTTTTCCCCCCCACCCTCTCCCTCCATCACCGCGCGCCCGCGCGAGGGATGTCACGACGCGTGCGCGGCAGCGAGTGCGCGAACTACAACTCCCAGCATGCCGCGCAGCGGGGGGGTGGTGTGTGTGTGTGGGGGGGGGAGAGTCTATGGAGACGCATAAGACTACAAGTCCCAGCATGCCTCCCCCGGGAAGCGACATGCGCAGTAGGGGGGGGGTTGTGAGGTGGGGGATGGGGGTGTGGACGCCGGGCGAGGCCGGGACCGGGAGGAACACTTGACAACTGACAGGACCGGGGGGAAGACGGCTTCAACATGCTCGCCCTCGCCCTGCGACGCCTCTCCGCGGTGAGTTGCCCGGGGTGAAGAAGGGGAGGAAAGAGGAGAGGAGAAGAGAGTGGCGAGAGGAGGAAGATAGAGACAGACAGAGAGAGAGAGAGATGCAGCGCTGGTCAAGCGCGTGTCGGCGGCCCGGGCCGCCCGGGCCCGGCAGGGAGTTTGGCGGTTGGTCTCGCGCCGCCGGGGTTTGTGCGGCAGTCGGTTGGTCGGGAGTCGACAGAGAGAGAGAGAGAGAGAGAGAGCGCGAGAGCGGCCCTGCACCGCTATGCCACCGCCGCATCAAGACCACTCTCCCTCCCCCACACACCTCCTCCCCACCCCCCCACACACCTCCTCTCCCCCCACACCTCCCCCCCCACCCCCACACACCTCCTCCCCCCCACACACCTCCTCTCCCCACCCCCCCACACACCTCCTCCCCCACACACACCTCCTCTCCCCACCCCCCACACACCTCCTCCCCCCCACACACCTCTCCCCCCACACACCTCCTCCCCCACACACACCTCCTCTCCCCACCCCCCCACACACCTCCTCTCCCCCCACACACACCTCCCCCCCCACCCCCCCACACACCTCCTCCCCCCCACACACCTCTCCCCCCACACACCTCCCCCCCCCCTCCACCCCCATTCCCCTTACGATAGGCAATTGCAAAGCAACGTGCAAAGCAAAAGAAAAAGGGCAGCAAGGAGGCAAAGAACCCCCCCACCCCCACCACTGCTCCCCCTACCACCCCCCCCACCACCCCAGGCTGACACGTGTGACCCCCCCCCACCCGCCCGCAGAAGCATTATTATATCCAAAAATGTAATTTAAGATCGCTTTCCCGAGGGTTTAATAATAATCCCACACCCCCCCCCTCTCCCTCCTCCCTCCCCATCGGCAAAACAATATAAATCGTAAATAACAATAAGTTGGGCCGCTTAGAGAAAGAGAGAGAGAGAGAGAGAGAGAGACAGAGAGAGAGAGACAGAGTTTTGCAAAGGGGGATAGGAAAGACTGGCTTTGCCAGAGCGAAAAGTAAAGTAATGCCTTATAATAACTATTATTATTAATGATGATCGCTGTGTATGCAGTGGTGCATTGGCACGTCGACCTGCCAATGTGTGGGGGGGGGGGGGGGGGGTGGAGAGAGAGAGAGAGAGAGTAAGTGTAGCTATGGGGTATAACTGAGCTGCAAACTGTCAGCAAAAGGCAATTCACACGTTGCTCTTGATGTGCTGCTCTGTCTCTCTCTTCCTCTCTCTCTCTCTCTGTATTTCCGAAGCGCTGCTGTCACTAAACAATTCCCCTTACACTGTGTGTGTGTGTGTGTTGTCTGTGTGCTGAGCGTTTCGGATTTGGGGCTTGTGAAGGACGTGTGGGGGGTTATGGCATCGAAAGCAATACGATTTAGCTGGAGTTCGTTCACAAGGCTTTGGTATCCTGACACGGGGGGGGGGGGGGGGGGGCGAAGAGATGATGCAATATTAAAAAAGATTTCATAATGTTGCCGCAATTGGCTTTGTCGGTGCTGAAATCAGCTGTTTTGACAAACCCACACATTGCGAAGTCTCCTCGGCAGACTTTAAACTGCAGACTCTGGTGCAGGGTTCGCAGAAGTTAACTGGAAGCTTTGTGGGGGGGTGTGTGGGGGTGGGGGGGGGGGCAGCAGCCTTCAGCTGGGGCTATACCACTTGTTTTGCACAGCACTTTTGTGCAAAGTGCCAGGGGTCTGGAGTAACGCCGGGCAGCGAATGCTTTCAGGAGCAATTATAAGGCTCTGGATGCTTGTAATTCGCTTGAATATCCAAAGGTTACATTTACTGCCTCGGTTCCTTGAAAGGAGTTGCAACACATGGCTGCGGTGCAAAGGCAAGAAGTGCCTGTTCATGCATTTTCATGATCAAAGACGGTGTGTGGAAATTGCCAGTGTGCTGTGAGCAGTGCCCGGGTTACGGTGCCTCTGTACCCAGTTTACACCGTGTTATTAGAGGGCAGGCGTGAATAAAAGCAGAATAAACTAGGTTAAGTAAGTCGTACTGGAGATGGAGTGCCCTGAATATTACTTAAAATACAGGGGGTGGGAACCTCACAGGCTCAGCCTCTCTTCGCAGAAATACAATATACAAATTAGCTTTCACTCTTTAATACCATTGAAATAAAGGTTGCAAGGTTTTTGGCGGATTCATGAGTTGCCGCGAGAGGGGAAGAGTAAGACTCGTATAATTAACCCACTACATTTATACTGCAACCAATTGAATAAACCCGCTTAACAAAGTTCTCTTTGACCCTACCTTTGATCGACAACCTTACTGGCTCGATGACTGCCATTGTCTGTAACACATTATCCTATTTGAAGGGTACAAGTTGCTATTTCTCCTAAGGCCACCTTCTCCAAGTGATGGCCAAAGAGGGACTCCAAAAAGATTTACGTTGCTTCATTTCAGTACAGATTTAATCGTGCGCCACGGCCAAAATGTGGCAATTCTTCACAAATCATACCGCATGTAAACTTGCCTCCAGGTTCTCATCAGCGAGTGAATTGGGATTGAGAAGTGTAAATCTTTCTCCAATATCTTTACTGCAGGACACTGCCATCTACTTCAAGCAACATCAACAGGGATTAATATTCTTGTGTTTGTCACCAAGCTGGCTTGCTGTTTCACTCCTTTGCACTTTATGGACGAGTTGAGGAGGATGTCTTGAGAACATATAAACTACAATGCAAAATTACATTTGTAAAACGCCTTTCACGTCAGGAGGACAACAACAACAACAAGATTCCATTTATTGAGTGCCTTTCACGTCGGGAGGACGTCCCAAGGCGCTGTACAGTTGGGTCAGGACCCGAGCATTGGGGGGAAATAGTCAGGGTGAGGGGAGGGAAGGGAGGGAGCGAGGAGGGGGTAGAGAGTCGAGAGGGGAGCTGAAGGCACGGGCGTCCGTGGCGCTGAACAGTCAGGGATTAGATTTAGTAATAGCATGGTAAAATGATGCAGAGCATAAACTGTTGACTTTCCTTAAATTTTTTGACTCATCATTGCTTATACACTATAATAGGGCGTCACCAATGATTTTAATGTGTGATAGCTTTCGTACTGATGGACTAATCACTTTCCAAGAAAGTTTTCAAAGAAAGAAGAACTTTCAATTTCCTGGAATTTATAACCACAGAATGTATGAACACGAGTTGTGTTTGCTTTTTTTACTCCTGTACTATGAGTATGTTGAAATTGTTTTTTTATTTTAAAATGGGTATTGATATTCTTTAACATTTTGTTGGTTGTATGAAACAGGATGTTCAGTGGAACATTTGTAACCATATGATTTGGGTCAAATTGAGAAACGAGAAGCACGTGTTAAAACCTTGTAGCATGTCTTCTAAAAAGGAAGCTTCCATTGGCATACTTTGTTATTTTGTTTTTTTCAGAATTTCTTTCGGAAGCATCATTAAAAATTCAGAGCCCATCTTCCGATCATTTTAATGTGATATTCATTTTAGAAATTCATCCGAAGTTCAAATTTATTTTCTTTCTTTCTTTCTTTCTTTCTTTCTTTCTTTCTTTCTTTCTTTCTTTCTTTCTTTCTTTCTTTCTTTCTTTCTTTCTTTCTTTCTTTCTTTCTTTCTTTCTTTCTTTCTTTCTTTCTTTCTTTCTTTCTTTCTTTCTTTCTTTCTTTCTTTCTTTCTTTCTTTCTTTCTTTCTTTCTTTCTTTCTTTCTTTCTTTCTTTCTTTCTTTCTTTCTTTCAATTTCTTCTATCAATGAAGGTGCATAATCATACTAGAAGATGTTTGGGATTCTCTGGTAGCTCTTCCAAGTGGCCATTCTCCAAGTGTGAACCAGAGAGTGAGTGTTTATAGGCTGTTTGAACGTGGATCTCCTCCTTGGTGCTATCCTGTACGAACGAGCCTGTAGTTGAAACATTTTTAAATAGTTATTCACACCCTGCGAGGTCTAGTAGTGTGTAGGTAGGATCAATTATGTTGATGGACTGGACTAGAAAATTTGCTTCTAACCCGAGTTAACCAGAGTCCTGTAGGGTAGAGGTTAGAGCACTCGCCTCACAACCAAGAGGATCTGTGCTCGTTTCCCGGCAGGGCGAAATGTTTGTCAAGTTTCCTGACTCCACGCGCCTCTACCAAGCAGTAAGTAGGAACCTGGTTGTTAGTCAATTAGTGGATTGCTTTTCCGGGGGTAGTAATTCCTTCGAAATAAATAAAAATAATTTGGGTGCTTAATCCACGACTGTTTATAAGAACATTGCGGTGCACAATTGGCTGCTGCGTTTTGCTCACAAAAGTATACAGTCAATGCACTTTACAGTATATTCAGTGAAGCGCTTTGAGACACCTCGAAGACACGATAAGACGCTGTATCAAATGCGAGGAATATTATTGTTAGGAGTTGCACCTGATGATTGCTATTTGCTGATATTGTATCAAGTGCTCAGTGTACAAAGGTTTGTAATTCTTCACTGCCACCTTGATAAGCATAAAACATTTCTGAAAAGAAACCAGCGCCTCTACTGAATTCCTTCTCAAATTGTTTTGGATTTGTCATTTGTGCAAAAGCTGACAGTAACCTGTGCATAGATTTGTATTTTACGCTAGAGATAAAGCCCCTCTTTCATCCTCAAAACTACGGCAACTGAAACCTGAACTGTGATCTAGAGCCCTTTAATCTATATCATAAGGACTATCTCCTTGAGTCTGCTTTTCCTTATATTTGTGGATAATATACTGGCAGTCTCAGATTCCTTATTGCTTTGCTTCTGATTTGGATAAAATACAATGTGATTTTCATAAGTAAGTGGCGTTTGTGTGGAAACGTGAAAAGCGCTATATCAAATGCAAGGATTATTATTATTATTAATGAGGAATACACCATACCAATCTGTCTGCGATCTCTGTTCAGCAGGCTGCTCCCATGTCCCCCACCAGGCCCACCCCACTACCAGCGGTTGGGTCTTCAACCTCTCTGCGCCAACCCTTTGGAACTCCATCCCACATTCCCTTTGCATCGCT